TTTCACACAATACTGCATCTGAAAGAATTCTCTGCAGGCAAAAACTGAATTAAGTCCACTTCAAAGGTTTTTGTTCTTTTAGGAAAAAAAAGACAGTGACTTAGTGGTATTTCTGGGCTAAATTGTATTTCTCTGTCTGTGTATTTACACACACATTCATACGCTCAGGGCCAGCACCCAGATGACAAATGTGAGAATTACTCTTACTCTTAAAATATGTGTGTCTGTGTGTTTTTAATTTGATAGTACTTAGCAGAACTGCTAATGGCGCTGTGGTTATAAATCTTCCTTTAGAATTTTATAACATAATGTAAAGCACAATTTATCCCTGATCAATTAATGCCTTCACAATGTTTAATTTGAATGGCTGCAAAATAAATTGGGGGGAAAAAAAGTTTGTCTAATTTAAGTGACTGGAGTGACAGGACTTTTTTCCCAATCAATTAGTGCTTTGGTACAACTAACAAATTACATTCTGAAGCAAGAGAAACTTTCATTACAGAACAAACTGACTTTTTGATTACAAGTATTAAAAGAAATAACAAGACACATATTTTCCTTGAAAAATGTTCTGCTTAATATAGGATTTGATTGTGCAATCCTTACTCATATGGAGACAAAAGGGAACTTGCTGGGATGGTATGAAGGTGCAAGAGAGAGCCCAGTGCTGTACTGGCAGGACTTCACTGCAGAAAGCTATTGGCTGCTGTTTACATTTCTGACATTCTCTGAGTAAGTGTTGTCACAACAGACAAGCAATTATAGACAATAATGTCAGTAATTTGTGGATTAAGAACTCCTTAAGGATGTATTGGCACGGCCAAACAATAGCTGCTTTTAGCTTGCAACTGTTCACCCTTAGCTGTGGCAGTGAAACTGTAACTTTCAGGAAGAAATTGTGCTCCCTCTTAGGCAGCAAACAATGGCAGGGGTTAAACTTCTCTAGGCCCTCTCCGTGGCTCTTACAGCTCTCATGAAGGCAGCTCAACCTCAAAGGGCCACTTTTTAATAGGTACATCTATTTATGAATACACATAAAATGGAAATATAAGCCATTATGTTGAAGAAATGCTGTCCTAGGCCCTTGCCAAAAAAAAATCAGATTTTAAGATTCCAGTACTATAAATACACCTGTGAGGAGGCTTAGCCAAAGTCCAAGCCCCAGCGCTGTTGTGGAGGGCACAGGACCTTTGCTGACCCTCTGGCTCACCACTTGGAACACCCATGGCTCAGGACACGCCCCATGTTAGCTCATGCAAATTCTGTACTGTGTTTAACATGCCCTGCTGAGAAAATTATTTGATTATTCTGAGGGTCAACAAGAAAGATTGAAATGTGGTTTGCTCTTTTTTTAAAAGAAATTCAAAAAGACTGTCTAAAAACATGCACAGAAATGTGTACTTTCAGGGTCAAATTAAATACAAATACACTTTGTTTGTCCTTTTTGCTACTGTTCTTCTGGTTTTAGTTCAATACAAACCATTCAGAAAATTAGAGTTTGTTTACGAAAATGATTTGTGATAAGAGGAAATTTATCTTAGTAAGGCTGTATATGGGTAAAGTAGTGGGTGGGCTAGAGTGGTTTAGGAAAAACCAGTTTTTTCCTTATCAAGTCAGTTTTTTATTTTATAGGGGAAATTTTCAAAGAAACTATTTGAAAGGTTTTAACTATAAAGCTAGATAATGAAAGAATATTGATTGAGTACCATTAACCTTTTTCTTCCAAAGGCAAATTTGCCTTTAAGCATGAAGTACGTCATGTGCCTGGCTGCGAACACCAGTTTTAGAATTCCAGAGAACACAGGTCAATTTTGCTGCTTACGCTTACTAATTCAGCACCTTTTCATGAAAATGTTGTAAAAGACCTTTTTCAAAAGCTTATTTCTCCCAGGCTCCACGGCTGCAGGTGAGCTCGCTGGGCGTGCAGGGCTCCTGCAGCAGCGTCTGGGATGTGAAGCCTGACCCCACGCAGGACGGCAGTGCCCCGCTCCCCACGCAGGCTGCCCACCAGCATTATGCCCCAGTGGGTGACCCAGCCAGGGCTGCTGTCAGGCTGCCGTCTCCTCCACAAGCAGGAGACAGTGCTTAAGAAATGGCACTCGGCTCCCGCAATGAAAACGGCCTTTTGTCGGCACCTCCTTCCCACGTATGGGGACTCGTTCGTCTTTTGCTGCGTTTGCAGTTGGTTCTGGTGGCTTAAGTACATCCTGGAGGAGATGATAAAGGCTTCAAACGCACCTAAGATTTTTAACTTCTGGTATCCCTGCAGCCCCCAGCCTGTGCCCGAGCAGAGGCTGATCGAACTTCACATCCCTGGAAGCGAGGCAGAAGGCTGTGTGCACCCAGTACACATCCCGTATCTTTCCCTTGTGCCTTCTCTCCCCTCCTCACTCCCGTTCCTCGAGGATAAACCCCTGCAAAGTCCCTCCTGGCTGCTCTGTGTATTTTTTGGGTTGGAAACATCCTTTACGGGCCCAGGCCACGGGCGGCCCTTCCGAGCGAGCCCAGGCCGGTCAGGGGCCGCGAGGGGCCGGCGCCGGCGGGCGCGGCCCCGCATCCCTGCCCGGCACCCCCGGCGCGGGGCGGCCCGGCCCCGGCGGAGGCCCCGCTCTGCCGCCGGCCCCGCCGCCGTCACGTGGGCGCCGAGTTTTCTCATCCCGCAGCGGTATGAGGAAGTCAGAGCCGCCGCCGCCGCCCGCAGCCGGGCCGGGCGCAGCCTCCGCCGCCGCCTCGCCGCGCCGCGACATGTGAGTACCGCGGGCAGCCCCAGCGCTGCCCGCCCGCCGGCCCCGCACCGCGGCGGGCCGGGGCGGACACCTGCGGGGCCGGGGCGGCGGCGACCGGGTCTGGGGGCGGGCCGGGGGTGAGCGCGGGGAGGGGCGGCCCCGCCGCAGCCCCGCGGCGCCCGGACGGCGGGCAGCGGCACGGACGGCACGTCTCCGCTCGCCCGGCAGGCTGGCTCTCTCCGGCACCCCCCTCCCGGCTTGAAGCGCCCGCGGCGCCGCCGCCCCGATGGAGCAGCCCCCGGCGGCGGAGGAGTGGCAAGGGGCGACCCAGAAGAGGAAGGCCTGGGCCAAGAGCCGCGACTCCTGGCAAGCGTCGGAAGCGGAGGATTTCTCGGCAGCGGCGCTGGCCCGCGGCGAGGAGGAGGAGGAGGAGGAGGAGGAGGAAGAAGAGGAGGAGGAAGAGGAGGAGGAGGATGTCGGCGGCGGCGCGCTGCCGCTGGCCGCAGGAGCAGGTCAGTGCCGGGGGCAGCAGCCCGCGGGCCACCGGGACCCCCGCGGGGCGGCCTCGCTGTTACTGACTGTCGGCTTCTCTCCTGCTCTGCCCCTAAGGCTGCCACGGCGTTCCCAACGAGAAGATCGCGATATGGCTGAAGGACTGCAGGTGGGTGCTCCCGCCGGCGGGCGGCGGCGCGGAGGGCGGCCCGGAGCGGAGCGGGCACCGGCGCTGGCGCGGCGCTTCCCCGGCCGGGCTGCGCCGGCAGCAGCGCCGCGAGCCCCGCGGCCCCCGGGGAGCCGCGTCCGGCACCGCTCCGCTCCTCGGCGGCTCATTAATGAGCCTGACGGCTCCCAGCCGCCGGGGGAGGAACCCGGCGGAGCGTCAGGAAGGCAGCGCTGCTTTGGAAGCTGCAGTGGTTCTCACCGAGGGGCTCCAGCTTAAAGCTTCCACTGTTCCCTTGACTGGTTTTTGGTGCAGATTTCAAGGAACTGTGCTTCCGCGGCATGGCCTCTCTGCTTACAGGCCTTCAGGAGTGATGCCACAGTTTAGACTAACTTGATTTATCTGAGTCTCTTAATGTCTTCTATCCTTAACTTGAAGCATGGTATATGTATTCTGCGTTTCTATCACTGTTGCAAAATAATCTTTGGTGTTTACAACAGGTATAGATGGAATTACTTTTTCTTTATCCTCACTCATGTAAATGTACAAACGCTACATCAGTAGCAGCTGCTTTTTTCTCTTTTTTCTCCATTCAGTCCTAACAGCCCTTTGAAGGCAGACTTGATGGGGGGGAGCTAACAATTAGCTTTCCAGTAGCTGACAATGACATTTCAAGACCACTATTTGATATTTCTGGTTTCTTTCTCCTTTTAAGAACAGATACGTTAAGGCAAGAATTTACCACTGAGATTAGTTGTGCCTTTATGATCTCTTGGTCCGGCAAGCAGGTGACTGATCTTACTCTGTAACTGAAGTGTGGGTTGTCTTATAGCTACAGGATCCTCCATATAGTTTTCTTCATCTCTTTACAGACTGTGCCTTGGATAGGGTATTGGCAGCTACAGGCTTGAATTTGTGCTGAAATATAATATTTCGACCTGACAGACCATTCTTCTAAAATGCTAGAAAGGGAGAAGATTTTTCTGACATTACCTCATATCTGGTATCCTGTTGGTCTACTAAAGTTTTCTTAAAATCAGTATTACAAATTCGATGCTTTCTTAGAAGTATTTTTTAAGTGGGGAGGGAAAAAAATGTAAGAACTGGAGGGGAAAGAGGCCATTGGGGGTGATATTCTTCCGAATGCTGCACTGCCACTAGGCTGCAGGATTTCTGTCTAGATCCTTCCCTGGCCCTGTAGTCCTTAACACTTCCATATAGAATTTAAAGAACAGCACAAAGCTGCAAACTGACAATATGAGCATCTAATAGGTGGCCAAAAATCTTGAGTAATAACACAAAGCTTGCAGTTTCATACCCCTGCTTTGATAACTATCTGTTGTTAAAACTGGCACCACACATTTCTGTGGAATGTTTGCATCTCTGGCAGTTGATTCCCAAAATATGGGAGTCTTGTTTTACAAATAACAAATGAAGCACAAGTTAACTCTTTTGCTAATACAGAAACAAAAATTTAGGTAATTCATGTCTGTGAAACCTGTTGCTCTCCTTCCACAGTAGCCTATTAAAGTAGAGCTATTTACTGTTGTAAGTCTTTTCAGAGGAATCTTGTGCTCTCCTCAGAAGGACTTTTAAAAACAGATTTCCTAAACAATGCTGTTGAGACAGGAGTTAGCCTCTGCTCTGTGGCGTGCAGGGTACCAGTGTGCGCGGTTCATGCCCGGAAGATGCAATCCCAGCTGCCTGTAAAAGGCTGCACAGTTCCTTGTGTTTTAAACTGCAGAATAGTTTAATTTTTTATGCCTAATGTACATGCAAACAGTTGCTAGCATGTACAGTAAAGTGATGATTCAATTTACAGTGTTATAAGTGATTGTACATACAGAATCCTTGGTTACGATGTACATAGGAAAAGAGGACAGCATTAACAGAGGATGGAATAGCCCTGCAAATACTACAATGTTTTGTTTAAAAATAACAATTGTGAAATTTACAATTTGTGAGTCGTTCCCGCTGAAATTTCTTACTTGTTTAATAACACTGATTTTGCTGTCAAGCTTTGATTGCTAAAAAGTGTAGGCATACACAAACAGCTTCTATTTCTGGTTCATGGCGCAACCTTATTCTTAAAAGTTAAGAGTATTCTTAACTTGTATTCTAACATGTTACCATGTAGCTATTGCTACAAATGAAGATTCAGTTATTGAATACAATATTTTCTCTGTTACATGTTTTCTAAAAGTAGTCCTTCACATTTTCTGAGTTTCTGTGTGTGTTTCTGAAATCAGAAGAAAATTGGCACTTTTAAAATCTTATTTTCTGGTTCAAGTTGGCAGCAGCACAAAAAAACCTTAATATCAACCCACTGCATAAATAGATCTACTTATAAGTTGAATTCCTTTGTTTGTTTCTAAAGGCATTAATAGTGTTCTAATATGGACAAAAAGAATTACTAGCTGTCCTTTGATATTTACGTTAGTGGTTTGGGGCTTTTATTACTTGGCATCTCTGTTTCACATCTGCTTTAGAGGAGAGGAAGATTCCTAATTTCCCATGTTATTTACCTTGATAGATACACATTTTGTTGTTTTGGGCTTCTTGTAAAGAAATAAATAGCAGCAAACCATAAAAGCAAAAAAGCAAGTATTTATCATACTGTGATAAGAATTATGGAGGCATAAAACATGTCAGATGTTACTCAAAGTATCTGGTTCATTCACGTTTTGGGAATTGAATGACTTTGAAAAAGACCTTTTTCTCTCTCCCCAGTACTTTGAAAAGGCATTCTGAAGTAATGAGAAAGCTCATAAAAGTACAAGTGCTTGCATTATAGTGATAGATAAAAATAGGGTTTTTTGTCAACTATTACAATGACGTGTACTGTTTTGATTGAATATAATTTAAACTCTGCCAGTAATACAGGGGATGTGGGAGGTATCTAGGAGCCATCTCCTGTAGATATGCAGGAAGTGAGTTCTTGAAATGCCTCAGAAAAAAGAGATTTTTTACTTCAAGTTTAAAATAAACATGGCTTCTGCCCAGATAAAGGTTTTAAAAGCTGAGGTTTAAACACTTCCACAGCACAGTGCAAACCCCTTTTCTTGTTCTGAGAGACCACCCGACCACAACTGGTGGCTGAACAAACAGAGCTCTGGGATGAGAGGAAGCCTTGAGGCTGTGTGAGGCAGGGACACCCCATCCTGAGGGCACAGCAAGGGGAAGGGTCCCCCAGCCCTAACATTCCCCAGTGCACAGGGCTGCTTTGAGACAGAGCCTTGCTGGTGGAAAACAGCCTGGTGCAGAAAGGCAGAGCTATCTGTGCTGTTGTCCACAAGGATTTTTGTGCGGTACTTCTCTGTTGTTTAAACTCATGTTTTGTCTAGTCCTTTAGAGCAAGTTTTTCAAAGGCAGGGGGTGTATGGCAGCTGTGTGCACCCGTGCAGGTAGGGCAGCAAGGGGTGGTTGACAAGGATGCTGTTCTGGTAGCTGCTAATGTGCTGTTATGGTGACAGACTTAATTTCGAAAGGAAAATGCCAGCTTTGATGGATGCTTTTACTGCTTTCTGCCAGCCGCTGCATGCAGCACTGACCTTGGCTGTCAAAGTCAATGCCAGCAAGTTTCTACATCAAAAACATAGAGCCATGGGAGCAGCCACCAGGGAAGGAGAGGGAGAAGGTTGGGAGTGCACCCGTCAGATCCAGGGAGTAAACGTTCAGCATAGTTATTATCTGAGAGCACAGGCTTCTTGTAGACTGACAGGTTTAGACAATATAGCCTAAGTTTTTTAGACTCTGACTGGACAAACATGCAGAAATGCAGGAGATGTGAGCCTTGGCAGTGTGTCCTGTCACCTGGAATGTGCTTCTGCATCTGAATGCTCTGGCTGTTTGCCTTGGAGTCCCACCACGGTGGGGCTTGGCTTTGCCTTGCTTTGCAGAAGGCGTGTTGAAGTGAGCCTGCTCCGTATCAGCTGGCTGCATCTGGAGAGAGTGAGCTCTGTTTAGAGGGGAAAGAAAAATAAGGTTGTGAAGTGCAAGGTCTGTTAGAAAGCAGATGCAAATTTTCCTTGCTTAATTTGGCCATGGCACCAAAATAAATACTGTATCAGAGCACTGTTTCTTTCAGGTCTTCAGGCAGGTTTATGTGTTTGTCTAATTAAAAATCCAAATGAAACATACATAATATAAGTGCATAAATAATCTGCTTTTCCCTTCTTTATGAGTATTATATTTCTGCATTTGTTTTGAGCTTTGAAAGTTAATGCTGTGCTACTTAGAAGTGACAAGACACTGGTTAAACATGTCTGAGAGACAAGATGTGGAAACATCTAGTTAGTGTCAACAAATACGGTGTGAACCCAGAATGGGATTGGACCTGTAATTTGTGAGGCTTCTGCTGCTCCTTTCAAGCACCGTGAGGTTCAGCAAATCCCCTGCCCTTCAGGCAACAGCTTTTGGAGGGATCATCCAAAAAAGAACTAGTGTGAACAGCCTGTAAAGAATCAGAACCGGCAAGTGACAGCTAACATAGCTGTCAAGACTTTTTTATCTTGGTTCTTCCTGATCAACAAATATAACTGTTCACCCCTCTCTCCAAGAAGTTTTAAATGTGTAGAAAAATGGCAGTTTTTACTGCCTAAATGAGCTTGAATTAATCCATTCAAAAAATCATGCTTGCTATTTCTGGGTGTTTTGCTGAGAAGTCCCTGATTTTCCTCAGCAGGGGCTGCTGCCCCTGAAGGTGTTCGAACTTTGCAGTTATTACGTTTTGTTGTTTTTCTCTGCAAGGTGTATTTATTTAGAGGGCTGGGGATTGTTTAGGAAGTTATTGCCAGTCGTCAGATGTTTGTGCTTTCTGGGGGCGGAGGGAGGGAAGGAGGGAGGGAGGGACAACTCTGCTATCACAAGCTTGTTACATGCTGTAAGGAAGGACATGAAGCAGCAAGTTTTTTAAGTAGTGTTAATCTCTTCTATGGTTTCAGAACGCCTCTGGGAGCCTCCCTGGATGAGCAAAGCAATCCTCTATTGAAGGGTAAGGAAAGACTTTACCTACTGAAATCTCTTTTGCTGGAAACTGTGTTTTCAAGGACATTCATGTGAGACCTGGTAGCAAACCAAAACTGCGTCAGTGTTGCAAAGTTATTCTCAAAGCAGAGCAATTGTGTCTGAGAAACTGGAGAAGGGGGAAAAGAACCGGAATAATAATGGAGGTCTTAGTAAGCTCTAAAAAACTCCCAGATGTGTGAAACAGGGAGATGATTTTGTCTCCAAACTGGAGAGCGTTAGGCAGTCTCTGCCTCTAATAACTGTGGTTGCCACACCTGAAAATTTTACTATCCGAGCAGGTCTGAATAGTAAAGTTCAAAGTACAGTAGGAATGTGCAGGTAGTGACAGGGTGAAGAAGAATTACTTTCTGTGCCTGGAGTCTTCACTTCAGCTCCTAATCTGGTACAGGAAGGTGAGAGGAGAATGCCCCAGCTGGACTCAGACTCTGGATTCTCCTGGTAAGATGTCTGGAGGATAGATAACGCAGCAGCCGAAGGCACAGATGTGCTGAGTGGTACCTCCAGATTCCCACTTGAAGTTAATTTGCTCACACGTTGACTTGGAGGTGTTTCTGAGTGCAAAACCAAAGCAGTGTTGTAGTTGTTCCCTTTCAAAATAATTTTGCTGTGTTCTGAAATGTAACTTTTTGCTTCTTAGTGCATTTTAACTGCATGAGTAATCCAGGGATTGTAAATAAAGTCTAGTTATTTCTTGTATCAAATGAAATGTCTTACGAATATCTTTAGATAAGCAGCTGGAAGGAAAACATTGGAGCATTGTAGTTGTTGAACTGCTAACTGTATGTTTTCAGGCATGGTGGTGAGAAATGGAGGAAGTTTTGAAGATGACTTATCCCTGGGAGCTGAAGGTGGGTGTGGCAGATTATGACTCTTTTTCTAGCCAAAAAAATTATACCCAGTCATCCGATTTTTATTTTGAAGGACAGCATTGGCTAGAAAATCAGGATGAAGCACACAAAAAATGCAGGAAGATTTGCTTTTTGAAGTTATTTAGATTATGGCTAGAGTTAGACACTCTGGGTCTCTGAACCCAAAGGTCAGAGGCAGCCCTGAATTTGCTTCTGCCCTCTCATTTTAATGCCCATGATGACAGGGACAGCCTGGAGCACTTACCAAGGCTGTGAGAAAATGATTTCTCCTACTTGTTCTTCTTGTCCATGGGTTACTCTTGGCAGCCAGGCATGCCCCACTTTTACTGAATCCCTTGGGAGTGGCATGTGTGAGCTTTTGAAAGGAGGAATGAAATTCTGTCAGCCAAGAGGCAAATCTGTTAAGTGCTTTTAAAAGTGAAAAGCACCAAAGCTGAGTAAGTATTTTGATCAACCACAATATAGACTCTTCTGTTGCTATCTGCTTGCCTTTTCTTTCTCTTCCCCTTTTTAAGGGGAAGGAGAGGTGGCTGTTCCCCATGGACTTTGTAAAAAAGAATTCTAGCCTTGATTTTGATCATGGATCAGAGGTGTCTGTAAAGCAGCCAGTAAAAGCACTGTGAATTCTGTTCTAACAGCAGTATCTTGTAAAATAGCAGAAAAAGTCTCATAAACCAGGTCCTGGAGTTATCTGTAGGACAGGGGTCATAAGACATTATTTGCTTTCAGTGTTAAAAAAAAAGGTAAAACTCCCTGTTTAGCTTTTATTGTTTTTGAATCACAGCTTTTGCTAAGTGTAGTAGAAAGCCCTTCTCCTGGTCTTGCCAGAGTGTCAGAGTAGTGGGATAAGGCCTGGAGGAAGGAAATATCTTTAATTTTTAAAGATTAAGACTTCTAGGGAGAAGAGTTTATCTGGTAATGAACTTGATCTGCTAATTAAAAAGCAATAAATGACTCTCCTATTGTAGTAGATGAAATAGGATTAAATTTTCCTATTGACAGTCTTTTCCACTTGTTAGATTGCCTGCAGTACAAAGATTTCATAGGAAAAATGTCTGTGTAATGATAATCCAAGGGTCTGAGCGTATGACCAAGAACACAAGAATTAGTGGATTTCAGTACATCATGTCACTTTTTTCAGTTTTTCTCCTTACAGTTTCCAAGGACTTCTGGTTTGTATGGGTCTTTTGCATGATTTAGCTTGTCCAGATGAAAAGAATTGCTGGTCGATTTTTCTGGCTAACGATGCAGATGTTTCTGCTGGGCTTTGCTTCCCATCCTGGAACAAGGGGACAACAGAGCTGCTTGGAGCAGGGCTGCGTGCCCTGCCAGACAGACAGCCCCTTTGAGGCTGGGATGAATGGCCTGCCCTTGTGCAGCCAGGACTGCCCGAGGCCAGATGCAAGCCAGAGCCCTATGTGAATGGTACAGAGGGCATTGGGCAGGGACCTGTAACCCCAGCCCACTGCTGAGCTGGTAAAACCCATGGTTCAGCTGTTCAGCTTAGTCACTGAGTAATCCTTACAGATAGGCTTACCTTCATATTATTACAGGCAGGAATGTTGAAGAAATGTGGGATCTGTGTTTTGCATACATTTCTTTGTGATGCCTCTGAAACTAAGAGGGAGGTTGAGAAGTACCCTCCTGGCACAGCGGGTCAAGATGCAGGCTTCTCCTAGCAGTGTGTGACATCACTCTTGTCATAGCTGATTCTGAGGGCTGCTATAACAGACATGTGCTCCTTGCCTGTCTCCTGGGGCAAGTTGTTAATGGTGAGTTGCTTCTTTGGGGAGTCCATAATTTAAGTCTGAAGTTCAGTTCTGAAAGAATAATGCTGCCTGGAACATTCCCATGTGATCCAGCTATGGAAAGTGCTGACTTCCCTGTCAGCCTGGTGGCCAGGTGCTTGATACCTGGGAGACAGCCTCCCTCCTGAGGCTATCACCTCTGAGCCCTATCAACTGTGCCTCCTGCCCTATCAATGTCTGCTGGCCCCATCAGCACCAAGGGGTCACTGAGCTCTGGTCTATGTATTGCACAGCTCAGGCAGCCACTTTGCTGATGAAAAGATGAACAAATAGTCTTAGCACCTGGCCATAGGGCCAGCTGCCTTTCTTACATTCTTTACTTTCCCAACTGGAGCAATCTTTGTATGCCTGCTTGTCCTCCTCCCCTTCCCACCCAAGAACAGCCCTGCAGCTGGTAATCTTGTCTTCAGTTGCAAAGCAATAAATGGTTTATATAACAATTACCAGCTTATCACAATTTAAATTTCAAGTAATAAGATTCATGACAGTATGTAAACGTTTGTCTATGTGAGACTTAATTTTAAAGAGAGCTTTAATAAGCCAGATAACTTTTATATCAGCCGTATACTAGAAACCCTTGACAATCACATTTATATGGAAGAAGTAAAATCTGTTTTATGCAGGACTGTTGGTAAATGTGCTCACTGTCTGCTTCTTCATACTGATTGTGAGAAGTGTAGTTCTGAAGAGGTCTGGTTATAACTTCTTATTCTTTCTCTGCAGCTAATCATCTACGGAGTGATACCCAAGCAGAAACATGGTAAGCATCGTTTTTTTGTGTTTATTTACTTCAGAGGAATATTTATACTGAAGGGCAGGGGAGAAAAATGGGTAGTGGAAGTCATGGGGGCTTCCACAGAGCTAAAGCTCTTCTGCTCATATCTGTTTAACATGAGAATGAACGAAGTGATCCAGATAACACAGTCATTAGGAAGAGCAAAAATAAAATTTAAGATTTTGTATTCTTTCAGCAGACCTGACATAGATTTTGGAGTAGCAGGAGGAAAACAGAGAAATGACAAATCTTAGCTATGTAGCATGATTAACCTTCTTTGCCTCACTGATTGCTCACTGTTTCAGAAATTTCAAGGGAAAATTAGTTTTGTCTGTCACAGCAGATGTCTTTTGGGAACATGGAAAAAAGACTTTGAGATAGGAGAGATCGTTAAAGCTTCTAAATAAAATGTGCTGAAACTAAAACCCCACTGAGACTTCAGTGAATGCTGCACAGCCGCTGTGGAAAGCATCCTCTCTATTCCTCCTGAGTTGGGCTCCATAAATAAATATACACTCTTAGGTGACTCCTCTGCCACCTTTGGTTTCTTGGCGGCTGTTTAGGGAGGGAACAATTTGTTCCTCAGAGACATTAACAGGAAAATTATGTTTGAACCCAGGATACCACCTAATGCTCAGGCAGTTTATATAGTTTGGGATTGGGAAGGAGACTGGCCAGCAGTGTGGACTGGAGCTTCACTTCCCCGTGCCCAGAGCCTCTTCAGCTCCCCCGGCCAGGTCCAGGCAGGTGGCACTGGGGTGAGCAGGGTACCCGAGCCATGGAGAGGGTGGCCGTGCATGGGGAGGTCCTGCTGCAGGAGGCAGCGGCCCAGGGGAGGCAGGAAAAGGCAGGGCAAAGACAGCTCACCCGAGGCTGGGCTTCCTTACTGGAGGAGGGTGGGAACAGGGAGGGTGGGGCAGCAAGGGCAGATCAGAGGTTGTTTTCTCAGCTCGCATTTGCGTTCCAAGTCATACCATCTATGTACATTTTTACTGAGGTGGCCCAGGCTTTGCTTTCATTTCTGTATTTCAATAAATGACATGGATAATATAAACCAGATAACAGTGAAGGGGAAAAGAGAAATTGGACAGTGCTGGCGGGTTAGCTCTCCAGTGAGACAGAGAATCAAGTCCCTGAACAAAAGAGGTTTATCGCAGGGGTCCTCTCTGTTTGTGCTGACAGCGATGGTGTACTGGCAAAGGACAGGAGGCTGCAGTTCCATCAGAAGGGGAGAAGTATGAACTCTACCGGCTCGGGAAAAAGCAGCACGACTGTTTCAAGGTAAAACTATGCTTAAAAGGTCTGTTTCTCAGTTAAATGAATTTGGCTTCTTTTATATGCATTGCTGCATTTAGTAGCTGAGAAGGGAATTTTAATTTGGTTGCTTGGAAAACTTCTGTTTGTCTTTTGTTGTGGTTTTCAGTAAATGCTAACAAATGGACCTAAACATTAAAAATACCTGAACTTTTAATGGCATTTTAAAATCTGAGCTCTGCAGAATAGGACTGATTTTAGAAATGTTGGGATTGGATGTGTGATGTGTCTGGGCTAATGGCTCTCATGATGGGAATGAAAACATTAGATGCAGAGATTTCCACAGTTATTTCCAAAACTAGTCTAAGCTCTAGGAGTCAAAAGTTCAATAAACCAAAGTGAATTAGCAGTTTGATAGAAGGGACTGGATCTTACATGTAGATGGTTAACATCTTTCATTTCTGTAGTGTTTCTGAATTACTGGAACTTTATGAGGAAGATCCTGAAGAAGTGCTCTACAACCTTGGGTTTGGAAGAGATGAACCAGATATTGCTTCAAAAATTCCAGCGAGATTTTTTAATTCATCATCATTTGCCAGAGGGATAGATATCAAAGTGTTTTTGAATGCCCAAATACAGCGCATGGAAGTGGAAAATCCAAGTTTTGCTTTAACAAGTAAGTATGTTTTTGAAGTACAGTTTGTTTATGAGTTTATTAACTATGTAAACCACCCCAAAAGAGGTGTGTATCTAATATTCTGGTAAAACTCTGTTACAGCCTAAAGGCAACATTCCATTCAGAATTCATAATAAAACTGTTGCTTGGTCTTAAATAGGCAAGAGGTAACCACCAGGGTGGTACTCATTGGGATGAGTGTAAGGGTTTGTAGTGGGGGAGGAAAATAAAAGGCATCCTGTAAGGTATGCTGCCTTCTGGTTTGTATCATGCTCATCTTTTCTTCTGTTGCAGATTTAGAGCACTGAAAAAAATAGCAATATCCCTCTGTTTCTGGTGTTCTTCAGTCCCTGGGTGGGATTTTTTTCCTGGGTGGCAGCGACCTATTTTTGTCATTGCTGAAATCTGGGGCAGTATTTCTATGGACTTGGACAAGAGCTTTGTTGGATCAGTAATAAGCGCTGCTTAAATGAGGGCATAGCTATCCTTTTCTAGTTGTAGCTGGAGAGAGCAATATGAGTAACATTTCCTTTCTAGCATTTTGTAAATAAACTTGCATTCACACACATATGCCAGTGGTTTAAGTCAGGAGAACTTTACATGCAGTTCTTGCATATTTAGTAAAGATTCTTTTTTTCCATAGTAAGTTATCACTTTCATGTTACAGGCCTAGGAAGTGTTCATTCAGCCTTAGAGGCCCCGGATAAAAGTAGGAGGAGGTTTGTGGGGTTGGGCAGAGATTATGATCAAAATTCCCTCTTCAGATATGCCTTGTGTTTCGTTCCTGTGCAGGTCGTTTTCGTCAGATTGAAGTGCTTACTACTGTGGCCAATGCTTTTTCTTCTTTGTATTCTCAAGTCTCTGGGACTCCTTTGCAGAAAATTGGTAGTATGAATTCAGTGTCTTCCAGCAAAGAGGCGTCCAGCCCTCCCCCTCTGAATCGCAGCAACACAGCCAGTCGGTTAATGAAGACCTTGTCAAAACTCAATCAGCAAGCTGATGGCAGCAGCTCTGCAAGTCCTTCGCCTGTTGAGAAAGGGAAAAGTCCAGCTGAAGTAGGGAGTGAAGAAAATGATGTTAAAAATGAATCTAAATTGCCAAAACATCCTAAAAAGAAAGACTGTCCCTCGTTTTTGGCCACTGTAAAGGAGGAGATAGCCGGCAGTCAGACAAAGGCTGCAAACGCAGAGGGACCTGCGCACCTCCCTGCTGCACAGGAGGGTTCTGTGCCCCCAGCAGATGGACAGGATGGCAGGCTGGCTGGTGCCCAGGATAGACCGTGCGAAGAACCCGGTCTTTTGGACTCGCCAGGGCTCAGCAGCAGTTCCAGTACCTCCGACAGCAGTGTCCTGACACAGAGACTGTCCACAGCATCGCCAGGTAGAGACCCCTGCGCCCCCCTCGCAAACCCGTCCATAACGAACCTCATGCTGCAGCAGAAGGACTCCTTTGAGATGGAAGAGGTGGGTAAAGACACTTGCCTTACTTTGTGCATACAGTTTACATAGCTCCCTGTCTGCCAGCACAGGAATGTTCCCTCCTGTGCAGTTGACAGTGTTTTCTCCAGGAATACTTGAAATTCTCTGTGTTGTGCTTTCTCAGCAGTTGCAGGCTGCTCTAATTGATCCTCTTAATGAAGTAACTTGGTGCTGCTGCTGCTGTTGTTCCTAAGTCAGTGGGAAAGTTCTCATTTTTTTTTAAATCAAATTCAGAAAGAATTGCTATCACTGGCATAACTCCTGGGAAGTTTTCCCTGTGTAAGTAAATCTAGGTTAGGGTTTGTATGCAACAAAACCTTGGGTGTTAAGTTTTCACTTTACTTAAATTGTTAACTAGAAATCATAACTTTTGTTGCCTAGAAGAAAATTCAGTGTAATAATTGATGTTGATTAAAGATAAATTTGTGAATAAAGCCAGAGTTTTGTTGCAGTGAATCAGGGGAGGGGCTTTCATGTAGGGTGAGGTGCTCATCTTGTGCAACTTTCGGTTTTGATAAGGATCTACTCGAGTTGATTTATTTGTTCTCTGGAAATTAACACACCGAAGGCCACTGTGACATGACTTTTGGCAATGACTTAATTACAAAGTCCGTGCTAGATGTCTTTTAACATCTTCATATATGCAGATATCCATTTTCATAATGATAATTATTCCAAAGGAATTTTAATTCCCAGATTCCCATAAGCGATTCGTTTACTAGGGTAGTAAACATCTAGCCCACAGATTCAAGAATGCAATTTTTGTGTAGAGTTGCAGGTCAAAGTGTAAGAACTGTCTCAATATTCTTAAATGAGTAGATGCTTTTGTGGGCACATTTCAATGTGACTATTAAAAGTTAAAAGTTCAGCAGTTAAGTTTTTTATCTATGTGAAATAGATACATAAAATGAGGGATATTATGATTTCATTGGTGAAATGAAGAAAGCAAGTGAATAGAAAAGCCAGAATTTTACAGTGGATGATGAAGTGATGGTTTAGAAGATACTGTGTCTGGTGTCATGACAATTCATGACAAGCTCTTCTGGATCAACTAATGTTGTAGCTGAAGGCAGTCATTAAGCAAAAAAAGGTAATCAAGCCTCTTGTGGGTTCCTAGCACTGGTTTATTCCAGTGTGTCCTACTCACATGTTGTGTGGCCATCTACTGAACCAGAACAAAGGACTAGTCCACTTAAGAGGGGAAAAAGAAACTCAGTGTGTTTTGATTTATTTCTTTTTCCTGGCTTAGTTTTCAGCCAGATAATTTTCTTGGTACAGCTTGTTGTGTAGCTACAAAAATGTTTGCATTGGCACAACTGGATGGGACTGAGCAGCAATGCATTTTGCTGTATATTTCAGAGGAGAAATCTATTTTTTGTACCCTTGGGCAAAACTGAAACAATGAATGTATTTTATATAATTTATATACATGTGTGCATTCAGAGTAAGTTGGCTGTAAAGACTCGTTGAATTCTGTGCAAGTGCGATGTGTTTGCGAAGTTTCGGTTGCACACTTTGTGCAGTGATGCCAGGCATAAACACAGCTGTTTTGGCAAGACAGCATATGATGCGTGATGGAATTGTGGTGAATTTTTTGTTTATACAATATAGTATGTACTTATCAACTGCCTACAGATCCCTGGGAGGGAGGGATTCAGTTTTGCTGAAGACATTTTAGAACAATTCCTGGCAGTGTGATTTTATTTTTGTGAGTCTCTAAGCAGGGCGCAATGAACAATGAACTGTATTAGAAACAGTGACAGTAACTCCTCCCCCGTTTTCCTAGCTTGGCTTGGAGTGCATTCTTATGCATAAGAAAGATGACAGATATATCAAGGAAGTTCTTTCCAAGGCTTACGAATGCCTTGGAGGTTTGTGTGCCCTTCGGAAGTCTGTGGCTGTGAAGATAGCTAGTGTGGGAGTGAGTCAGGACAGGATTTCCCCCAAACACCCACTCCTGAGGTGGCCAATGACAGTCCTGAAGGTCACTTACCAGCATGAATATTGGCTGGAGGGATGGGGAAGGAGCTTCTGTGTGCTCGAGGAGCTGCACTGTGCTGTGGACACGGTTGGAATGCTGTCTCCCATGCAAGGACAAGAGGTGGATGGTATTTAAATGAGAAGAAGCTTAGCTTTTGGAAGGTTGCAAATTTAGCCATCAGAAGCTGGGAGGTTTGAGAGAATCAAGACACATTTCCTGGAAGGCCAGTTTTATTAAAGCGTCTGTAAGATTACTTGCTGTTCCTTGTTAAGAGAAACACAAACTAAATTTTTCCTAATCTTAAATGGTGAGCACCTTCTATGCTCCCCTGCACTTGGATGAAATAAGGATTTACCCCTTTGGTACAGCCTTCAACTCCTAAAAGAACAGAAGCCACTTGGTTTATCATGCAGAAGTAATGCTGCTCACTTACTAATAAAAAAAGTTTAGGCAAAGGTAAAAAGTTAGGTAAAAAGTTTAGGCAAAGTACTCCTCAAAACCTTTGTAACTAAGAAAATGAACCCTTGTGGCTGCTATACACATGGGATCAATGCAAATATAACCTCTTCTTTAGCCAAATACTAATTTTGGCTTATCAGTATCTTGATTTTTACATTTTTAAGTTGATAAAAAATTGAGATAAATTCATTGCATGGTAATTTGGAAAGTGGGCTGGGCTGGCAGCCCATTAGAGGGGGATAGTTGGATGGGGAGGTTGTGCATATAGACTTGCGTGTGATCCATTAGGAATTTTTTGGGATCACATACAAAAAGAATATTTTCTAAGTTTTGAACCAAACAAAGGCCTCCCTGTTGAGATTTTAGACATATTCTTTTTATTGTTTGAATATTTGCCTGAGAACTGTTTTCTTGATAAGACTGTCTCACAAAGCAATTGAGTGAAAGGATTCATTTTTATGTAGTTTTAAAATACCCAGTTGAAATGTGCATGGATCTGAATACATTATCTTGCTTTTCTGTACTGGAAGACATAAGACTTATTTTTACGAGTAGTGGCTTGGTGAAGTCTGGAGTCGGGTCTGGGTCCTTCTGCTGGAGGACTGGTGACTTGTAGGAGATAGTTGGTAGGGCAGCAGATGACAATCCATGTGTGCTGACCTCTCGATACACTTCTCTAAATGTATTGTTCTTTGTATTCAAATGAAGGGCCAAGAGTTCTGACTGGAAAAAGACAGTAGTGTAAAGGTGGTCAGAGGTGTTGTCACACAGTAATTTTAGTGTTTTGTCAGAGAGGAACTGAGAGCTCTGTGCTGGATGTGATTTCCAGGTCTTTTGCGTGCAGTGGGTAACCAGAGGGAGGTCTGTGCTCTGCGTGGGAGCTGCTGCCCAGGGATCACTGCTCTTCTCCCAGAGCATTGCTGAATGCCTGGGGAAAGTCTGTTCAAGGAGATCACAATTTGTTCCTTCAGCCAGTACAGGCTGTTCAATTGGAGGAAAAAGCCACCAGAACCTCCTCCTGCATGGGTAGTGTTTATAGCTTAGGCATTCTTAAGCACAGGAATATATTCAGTTGGCCTGACAAAATATTTGTCTCCTCTTCCTGATAGATCCAGAGTACAGAGGGGGATCTACCTCACGTTTCAGCTGCACATCAGCTAGCAGTGACCAAGTCAAGGAAAGGTGAGTAGACTGCAACTTCTGTGAGGATAGCAGACTGTTGGGTGTCCTTTCATCTCTGAAAGGCTGATTCATATATTTTAAGCTTCTAAAGGTTTTTTTTTTCTCTCTAGAAATAAAAAAGATCTGGGTTCCTTTTTTAGCTAAATCACAAAGCATTACTACAAAGTGGCAACCAAATTACAGGCAAGACAACGGCCCTATAACCTCACTGTCTGTTTTCACTTTTGTATAATTGATGATAGTTCAGATGGCCCGAAATGTTGATTCAGATTGTGTGGGATTTTTTTTTCCTTAGTAGATCCTGTAATTTAAGATGCCAATTTAAACTGAAATTACATTGTTTTAAACCTAAATTGCATGATACATGCAGCTTTTTCCTATGCACTACTGCTCTGTCTGCAGGCTGCCTGCACAGAAAACTAGTGTCTCTACACCCACGTGGAAACTGTAGTCCCTCACATGGAGAACACTGTTCACTGGCTGTTGTGGTTCATTTTGTTTGTGCTTTCATCTCAAATTTTTACTTGTGTGTTTTATGGCTTGGGAGGGGGATAAAGCTGATTTTTAAGTTTATTTTGTGATTTTTACTTTGCCCATTGTGAACAAGTGAAGTCCATTCTCTAGCTGATACATTTAATTAAAGAGGAACTAGGGCTTGTTGTACTTAGGGAGGTGCTTAGATGTATGCAATTTCTTGGTGAAACATGAATAGCATCTGTAGATACTTAAGAGAGGCAGAAAAACCTGTCTAAAGAAACAGAAATCATCTTATTTGAATTTGCACAAATGAATTGGCACTCATGTGAACTGTCAGCTGAATTGCATTAACATGGTTGAGCATGCCCTGGGCTAAGTGTTGGAGGGCCATGCCTGGTTATTGGTGATAACTTGTGCTACTTGTTCATCAGTGTTCTGCACTACCTGTTCTGCACAGCCTGGTGCTCACTAAGCTTCCTCTGCTACAAACTTAGGCCACTAAGGATTGCCAGAAAGGGATTCTCTAACTGTTCCCACTACTTCCTCCTTACACGCTTCCTCCTTCCTCCACCTGCTTTACATGACTGCAGAAAAGAGGGTAAGCCTCCTGTTTGCCTGACCTCTCCAGCTTCAGGGAGAGTTTTTCAGAGAAAACTAAGTTAAGGAGCCAGGAGCTGCAGTCAGGGAGGAGGAAAAAAAAAATTTTTTCATGTTTTCTGCTCTCAGTAGTGATTTTGTCCTCTTCTTCCACCACACAGCAAAGAAAAGTGAGATGGTTCTGTGTGTACTTGCTGAAAGGTACCAACAGTTGCAATGGGACTTCAGTCTGACAGAAGCAGGCCAAGCTGGGTCGTGTTTCCCATGCACTGTGTCCACCTATTTCTGAATACACTTTGCACAGATTAGTGGTGATACTTTATTATCAGGCAGGCATTGCCTAGAGTTTTCTGTGACTTATCTGACAAGGGTATCAATGCCTGCACATTTGCTAAAAGTTAGTCTGAGACCAGCATTTTATTTCACCTGGAAGATGCAAGGACTTTGTTCTGTGTGGATTTCAGTCAAGTTGCCAAAAGGGAGAACATTTGATGGAGAACTTTCCAAAATGTAAAAAGAACTGTAGCCAACTTTTGTTTTTGCAAGTGGTCCAACACGAGAAAACATAGAGGCCTGCTTTCTCAGAGAGTGGATGTTCACCAAGTTAGAAGGCATCCAAAGTTAGTGGTCACTTTTAAAAATGTTGGCCATTGTGTCTGAATGTGACATGCCACTCTCACTAGCAATTTCATGAGGTAGGATTGGCATGAAATTCAACCCCAGGTTCTCTGTTGCAATGTGATTTCAGTTGACACTCCTTATACAAACCCACCTTTTTCAGTGGCTTTGTCTCTATAGTACATAAGCACACATAAACTAAAGATTTGTTCCAGATGAATTGTGGTGGTATTCTTTGTCAGTTAGTAGGGTTGGTGTTCTTTGGTACAGATTATTATAAACCTTGCAGTGTAATTTTACGTCTATACTGAGGGCTGTGTATGCTTTCTCTGAAATTTACAACAGCTTGCAAGGCATGTTAAGAGGGCCTTTAATAAGAAGTGAAGTATTCAAATTAAAAAAAAAATCCCTTTCCTACTGAAATAGTCTGGTTGACTGTTGACTTATGGTTAACAACACAGTCTACTGTTGCTTAGACTCACAATTAAAGCATATTTCTTATCTCAGTTGTTTTAGGAACATAAGAATGAAAAGCTGCAGCTAGTTTACAAACATACAGCACTGCTAAATGTCCACTATAAAAAAGTGTACTGCAAAGTTATCTGGTGGAAAGGTTTGTTAGTGCACAACCAAAATTCTTACTGACATAAGAATACATAGAGCATACATACATACATACAGCAGCAACTTCAATTCCAAAAAATGCCCCAAAAGCAAGACAAATACAGGCACAATGCCTAGAGGAAAGAGTATTCTCAAGACACTGCAATTTGTGAATGTCTGGTTGTTGGCATCAACGTGGCTCTGTGAAATTTTGGGTAGGCACAGACCTGTCTCTTTCAAGGCATCCTACGCTGATAGTCAAAAGCGGTTATTGGCTTTGCAAATTTAATCCTTGAAAGGGAAAAAAGTACATCATCAGCACTTCCTGTCCTTAATATATTATTGTATTTATAGCTTTCTGTGGGTGCAGCTCCACAGGAGACTGGAGATGGAGGAGTGGGAAGAAAACATCTGGAACAGATTTAATATTTGTGGGAGTCTCTGTTTATCTGTCCAGATGCAAGGAGATCCCCAGGGACTCAAGAGTTTTTGTAGCAGGGCTCCCTATTGGGCTGGTTTTGTCAGTGCTGGGGTGCATGGTGTGATCAGTATGCAAAGAAGGGACAGCTGATATTAAATCCCATAATGAAATACCTAATAGTTAAGTTGGGAATGTTGATTTAATGATTATCTTACAAAATACAAAGTGCATTAGAATTTTTCCAATAGTACAGGTACAAGAAAAAAAAAATATTAAAACTTTATGGACAGTTTCCACATATTTCTTCTCTTCTTTGTGAGCAGTTGAGTGACTCAGAAGAGGTGAGACTGACACTGGTAGCTCATTATTACATTACAATAGATGAACTAATAATTTCCCTGACAGGGATGCTCTGATGAATCTGTTCTCACATTTTGTAAATCACAGACTTGTTTCTTCATTATGTGTTCTTTGTTTAGAACATTTTCAGTTTATTTAGTTTATTTATGAATGCACACTTCTTTTTTGACACATATTCAGTACCTAAATAGACATTGGGTTTTTTTAATATGGCTTAAAACAACAATTCAAGAAGCATTTTAATTTGTGCTCTGTTAAACTGGGATGGGAGTTTGATTGTTCCTGCTGGTTTTGTTTGTTGTAGCTGGTTCCTTCTTCCACACTTTCGCTATTATCCTGCCCCTGGCCTCCTCCCAGTAGTTCAGAGGATTTCCTCTATGTAGCTTTGAGTGGCAGAGTAAGTGTTGTGCATTGGTATCTTTTTGCAGAAGGTTACACAGGGCATGGGATGATCCCAGGCTGGCCCCTATAAACCAACCTTTGGTGCTGAAAGAAGATTCAGCAGAAAACACTTGAGGGAAGAGAGGGGAGCCACATCTCATGGCAAACTCCTTGGCTTGAGATTCTTCTTTGCCAGGAGGCCATTAAGTCAAGAGCCAAATGTAACTCTGTAGCTTTTTTTGAAGTGTTTTCCTGTTTTCCTCTTGTTTGCTTGAATCTGAGAGATATCCAGGTGCTGTAGAGCAGGCTATGTAGCTGGATCAGTATTGTCAAGAGGGTGGATATCATTATGTATCTGTAATATCCCAGTGTACTAGTTGGTATTTGCAGTCTTTACAGAACCAAACCTTGTCATTTCACTACTAATTCAGTAGAGATTCCAGCTTTTTATAATTTTTTCTGCATTTACATCATAGTGGTGTTGTGGAAAGCTCTAAGAACTTGTGAAAGACAAGGGTAAGGTATGATAGCAGATGTCTACTCAGAAAACGTCTTTTCTGATTTGCTTTAAAATGTTAAAAAAATCCTAGCAGCTCTGTAGCACAGAAGGCAAGGGATAGCTATATAAGGGGGATGTCTCCTTAGGTTGAACCAAGGCAATTTGAATCTATTCATACTGTGCCAATCACTTGCCATGGATGAATGAGGCCAGTGTGAATGACTGCTCTGGGCTGATCCCTTGCCTGGTGGTATCTGACTTGTAAGGCTGTCAAAGCTTCTTCATAAATAACCAATGCTATAGAAATTATATAAAAGACTGATTTTAACTTTAGTATTGTGTCTCTGAGAAGCCCAAGAACTGATTTGAGAAACATATAGATGTAATTTTCCTTTCTATAGCTGAAAAGGAAATACTGACTGAGAAGGAAGCAGAAGGGCAGGTCAGTATTCTGTTGAGCAGTAATGAAGTTCATGCACATGAAAACAGATACACATGCACTGGTGAATTGCTTTACCTGAACTAATGGGGACCTCTTCCATAAGAGAGGCTAAGGTTTTTTTTCTATTAAATTAAAATTCACCAGATAAGGAAAGAGACAGAGGAGGCCAAAGTGTTTGGCAACAAATTTAGGTAACTATTCACCTTGAAGCTTTCCCCCTAGCTTCAGTTGTAGTGACAAGCTGTTCATGGCATGGTCTTTCAGCTGTACTAATTGAATTGGGTAGTTAAGATCCAGTTCTCAGGGAAGTAATTTCCATTGTCTTTACTGGGAGTTGGGTGGGGATGTCTGTCTTGAGGTAGAAAAGTTGTTTGTCATCGCAGGATATTGTGGCTACCATGATAACAGAGCAGCAGCACAATTTGAAAGGCACTCCCTAAAAGCTGTGTGACATCACTGATATAGAAGCTTAGTGGGCAGTTTGCCTCTACTGCTGTTCACAGGCCTTGCAGGGTCTTACTTTATTTCTGTGTTAGTAAAATATGTATCAAAATTAATACTAAAAAAAATTAGTTGTGAATATCCAACAGTTTTAATAATGCATGCCAATGCATTGAGCTATGAACTGGGATTAAATATACGATGACATTTAACTGGGGCAAAATTCTGCATTGAGCCTTCGGGAGGATAGCAGCAAGCTCTTGCCTAAGGCTCGAGAGGAGAAGGTGGCAGGGGTCTGGGGCTGCAAGCCACTGTAGTTACCTCCCATCTCCAGGATTTTATACTTCTGCTAAGATCTAAAGGTGAGATAAGGTTGTTTGTTGCCCACCTCAGGCTGAGTAAAATGTTTCTGGTGCCACGAGGTAAACAGTGCACTTGGATGCTTCCTGTGCCCAGTCAGGAACAATACACATGCAATAGTGTGCTGCAGAGCTTGCTGAGATCTCCCTGCAAAGCTGCTTAGTCAGTGCAGTGCTTGCACCAGAGGAAATCACTCCTGGGAAGCACTTAGGGGTTTAGAGACTCTTTAGACTATTTTAATGCTTACCTAATGAGAATAGAAAGGAACAAGAAGGAGGATCTTATCTCTTGTGTATAAAATGAGCACTGGGAATGAGCTTTGGCAGATTGCCCACTGATGTGTAAAGGATGTTCTGCATTTGTCTGCTAGCCCAGCAGCTGGCAGAGTCCTCTGCATGGCCCTCTCTGCCCATGTGGTGCTGTCCCTTTGTGTGGGTGGGATGGTGGAGGCTGGTAGGAGACCAGAGATCTTCAGTATCTCCATGATCAGGAGAGGTGTAAAATCTGTACTTTTTAACACAAAAGCAACTCTTCCACTGCCTGTGTGGGAATTAATCAGGGATGCGGTTTTGTGAAAGGAAAACTCCAACAGTGGCAATATCTGCAGAAGTTTTTTACTACAGCACAGGAAGGAAAAATGTAAAAAATGGTTTCTTTTCCACTGCTGCTTGAAGTTTCACAAGTAGAGCTTTGGGTGAGAGAGATTTTGCTTGAAACAAACAAGTTGTTTCTCTGTTTTGTTCAAAGTGGAATCTGAAAAGCAATAGTATTACCCACTTAATGTTACTTCGCTGTAAAAGGGAAGCTTGTATTGAATGTGATGTGATTGATCTTGAAAGGCTGTCATTTGTAAAGCAATTACAGTTGGGGTTTGATTTTTTTAAGCAGATCAGCTGTTAAGGACAGCAAGTCAGCACTCTGACAGCAGTGGCTTCGCAGAGGACTCTACAGATTGTTCTCCATTCAGTCAGCTTCAGGTAAAGTTCATATCCTGTGGTTGAAATACTCCTGATTAGTGTGAAACAGGAGGGGAGGGTAGGAGGGATGTTGATGTTTGACCGCTACTGTGACTGTCAGTCTAGATCCTATAAAATCATAATTTTCAGAGCTGGACCTTCTGAGTCCCCGTGTTCAAATTTGAAAGCCTTTCTGGTAGGTTAATGGTAAACTTGGGATGCGAATAAGCTCTAAATTCAGTATGTTCTGTTTGCTGTTACTGGTGTATCTTTTCTCACTGTCAGTTCCTCTCAGTAGTGGGTAGAGATTAACGTCTTGAAAGATTATGGCTATTCTGCTGATCATTTCATTTTTTAATAATTTTTGTCTTCCCACTTTTCTTGTTCTTCTCTCCCCGCCCCCTGCATATTTTTTCTTTTTTTATTTTAATTAACAGCTGACAGAAAATGAAAACAATTTCACACTAGCTTTACTGTGAAGATAGACTAATTTTAGTTGATCTTGACCGTCCATGCTCTTTCTTGTTCCAGTTTCTTTGATCTCAGTCCCAGAAATTGCTATGATGCTGACCAGAGACCTCATGTCTTAGGGAAAGTCTTTGTTCCAGCCTGGTGTTTAGGTGTCTGCTTAATACACATGCTTGCACAGCATTGTATCTGATATTTTGAAGAGCTGTTCTCCTGGTTCTCCTAAAACATTCACACAGTAATAGCCATTATTTGATTGGCCTGTCAGTCAGTCAGAGAAAAGCCTTGAGTTGGATCCTGTTCTCAAGGCCAGCTATTCCTGGGACCTAGACCACAGCCCAAAGGAAGAAATGGGATTTTGGCTACCTCCAGCAATTTCATTTCTATAGCTTGTATCTACTGAACTGTATGCTACCATATATTTCTTCTCCCTTGTGGCACACCAAGCATTTTAAAAGCTGTTGGGCAGTTACTAGGAAGAGTTTTTTCACCTTCTCCATCCGTCAGTGTTGCTTTTTCATTTTGGTACTGGAATTCTGGGTTTTCTGATTTAGTAGTTCTTCAACTGAGTATCAAAATAAAAGCCAAGGCAGTGTTAATCTTTGTCTCCCTTAAACATCAGCTTAATGCTTTCCAAGAGCAAGAAAGGGAGTAATAATGAATAAAAGGAAAAATGATCCTGAGTCCCTGCAAAGAGCATAAGCATCTGACATACTTGTTCAGCTCTCTACAGAGCTGTGAATGCATCCAAGTTGACAGGCATATTAGAAGGTAACTTAGAGGAGAATTGGTCACTCCTAAGCTTTATGCTGGTTGCAACCTGATTAAGAGCCCACTTAAGAGCATGCTCAAAAGTATGTTGCAGCTAAGTACCCTTTCACTGGAATATTGCTGGAGTTTGTCTGTGTTGGCTGTAAAGGGAAGAGATTTTTCTGTTTTCTGTTAGCTATTTTAAAAAGGTATATTGAGGCTGCGTGAGGTTTATGCCATGGTGTTGCTAGGCTCTCCTCTGCCACCTGCACTCCTTAATTCAGACCAAGTGCTGAGCTGAACTCAGAAAATATGGGTGAGTGATGCAGCTAGGAGAAATGAGAACTTGGCAGCTGGAGAAGAGAACCTGTGAAAAGACGAGGGGGTTACAGAGGAGCATATGTTGTTTCTTAAAAGTATGGTAAGTTAGTGCCATCTACTGTCAAATTATTGACTCTAGCACCCATAGGCTTCCTCTGAAGCTCAGGAGAGAACTCAAAATTTGAACCATATTGCCTTTCATCTCTGACTTCCAAAATTAGGATTTCTGAGGGAGATTCTGACATTGAGATAGGGTATTTTGCGAGGGGGCGTTCATGTTACCAAAGAAGCCAGAATTCTCCATCCACGTTCTTATACCTTAATCATAATTGAACAGTGTGATGGAGAATTAGGGCACAGATAGACACACATGTAGTCCACGTGGTTTCACCTAAACATTATAATCTTTTGCTCATTTAGTACCTTCAACTTGAAAACCATCTGTATCTCCATATCCTTTCACAATAATCTGTGACTGTGTCAGTGAGTGCCATGTTAGGTATGTACTTGTGAAGGTGACATTCATGGCTGAAATCTTCTAGATGGATGGAGAAGGAACTATGGCCTGACAAACATCATAAGTAATCTCTTTAGGAGGAACTAATAATTAATATTCTAATGGTAGCAAGAACTGCAGAAAGTAGAGATGGGAAAATTTCTAGTTCATGCACCAACTATGGTAAATTTCCACATACTCTTAGGGAAATATCTTGTGCACTTGTAAATACAGCAGTCAGTCAGGCCAGCTTCAAGAATATGCTTTACAATGAATGGATCTCTTCTTTTTTCCTTTCTCTTACATGTTTTTCCTGCCATTTTTTATCTATTAAATTAGCAACTCCCTCATTCATGTGCTCTGGTTTAAACTGTGATTTAGAATGAAAAGGGGAAGAAGTATCAGGAGAAAGGAAGGAAGGGCTAATAGTACCGGATGTGGTCTTCAACTGAGATTAACATCCTAATGTGATATTCTCAGTCTTCAACAATTCTTTATTTAAACAGGCTTAGTTTATTCTTGGTGTTGTCCTGTAACACAGTTTCATACAGTCTGCAGTTCCCCTTACTTCTCTGTAGACATTTCCTAATGTTACCCTTCATTTCACTGTTGTGAACATTTAAAAATGGGAAATGCTTTGTACCGTGACCGAGCTATCTGTTTGTCATCACTACCTAAAATACTAGCATTGTATTCTTCTTGCTCTTACTCTTTTGCCCCTTCTATTCTTCTTACAATATTGAATTTATTGTTAAATCAAATGAATGTGTGAAGAATTTTCTCTTTAGGAACATAACCTCCTTTTGGTGCCATACTTCATTGTACTCCTAATGTATCTGATACTATGGTTTCTTCATTCTCCTTCACTTCTTTTCTTGCACATTAAGTGCATTATTCTTTATGCTCCCCACCCCAATGCCTAATGAAGGTATTCTTGGGCTCTGGGCCTGACCCCTGAGAAGGCAGCAGTTGAGTTTCCAGTCCGTTCACTCCTTTGCTGTCTCATATCTCTCCTAGGTTCAGGAGTCTTTGCAGGGCATGGGAAGCAGTGCTGACAGCTGTGACAGTGAAACAACTGTGACATCGCACAGTGAGGAACAGAAGACACCGATAGCCAAGGAACTGCCCTGTTTTGATAAGTTTGAGGAGGAGGAGGAGGAAGATGATGACGAGGAGGCGGATTATGATGATGATGAAGAGGATATTATCTCTCAAGTAGAGAGACGAAATGTAGGGGTATCTTCTGATAAGAGAAGGAGTGAAGACAGAAAAATTAGTGACTGTAAAACTGAACAAAATCAAGGACAAGAAAGCAAGTCATCTCATATATCAGAGACAGTCCAAGGAGAGGTCAGCTCTAAAGAGGAAGACATTTCCAGTGAGCAAAAAGAGTCAGACCTGCTGGAGGAAGGCAGTGTGTTTGAGTTTCCTCAGTATCACACACACCATATCCTCAAGTCGATGCAGTCTCTGGAAGGTGATGGCTTCTCCACATCATCTGTGGACAGAGTTCAGGTTGCCTTGCAAAGAGCCGAGATGAGGATCATCAGCTCACCTGACTCCAAGGCCAGGTGCACTCTGCTTAAGTCAAAAGATCTTCTGAGGAAGCAGCGACTCTGGTTTGCTGAATCGGGCTATCCTCTAAGGCGCTCTCAGTCTCTCCCAACTGCACTGCTGAATCCAGTGAAAGTGGTGTCCTCTGTGAATGTTCAGTTAACTCCAGGAAAAGAGACTCTCTGCAGTCCTCCTTCTTTCACCTACAAGTACACACAAGTGGAGGAGGACAAGGAAGCAGCATCTGAGAATGACAGAAGTGAGGATGAGGCAGCCTCCAGCCATCCTGTGTGCAAATCCACACTGTTTATTGCGCCTTCGTCCTCCAAGAAAGAGGTGCCCCAGGCTGAGGCCAGCAGGCTGCCTGAGGAGCTCAGTCCCACCAGGGTACAGAGCTGCCCCCTGCACATGCCAGCAGCCATGTCCCGGTCCACGTGCTCCCTCCATTCCCTCCCCACCGAGTGGCAGGACAGGCCGCTGTGCGAGCACATGAGGACGCTCAGCACCCACAGTGTCCCAAGCATCTCTGGCTCTTCCTTCAGTGCCATGCTTTCCCCCTTCAGCTGTCCCTTCTTTCCAAGGCATGGAGTTCCTCATCGTTCTCCTGCCATGAACCCACCCTCCACTGTGGAGATGCAGCTGCGCAGGGTCCTACATGACATCAGGAACTCCCTGCAGAACCTCTCGCAGGTAAGAGGAAGTCTCGTTTTACCTCTGGACAAAGGGGCTCCTTATTTTATCCTTACCAAACCAGGTGGTAACTTGAATATTCCTTTGTATAGTTCAACTTCTCAGGAAAAAAAAAGATATTTTGCTCAAGTCTGATTTGCTACTGTTTTAGGAGCTTCTGTTTAAACACACAAGTTTAAAGTGTTCAAGTGTGGGAGTTTTAGGTTAGATATTAGAAAAAAAGTTTTTCACCCAGAGGGTGGTAGGGCACTGGAACAGGCTCCCCATGGAAGTCACAGCACCAAGCCTCATGGAGTTCAAGAAGAATTTGGGCAATGCTCTCAGGCACAAGGTGCTACTTTTGGGGCTGTCCTGTGCAGGGCCAGGAGTTGGACTTTGACCCTTGTGTGTCCTTTCCAAGTCAATATATTTATGATTCTAGGATCATCTTTTCAGTGCTCCACTTTTTTTGTATTTAATGTTTTCTAGTTGCAGTTGACCCAGACTGATTTTTTTTTTCCAGTATTTTTTATTTTTTAGCTTTTACAAATATTTTTGGATGGAAGAGAGGAACAGTGCATTCTTTATCAGCTATTATTTTATTTTAAGATGGGAATCATTAGCTTTAGATTTAAAAATGCATATTTATAGAATCACAGAATGGTCTAGTCAATCCTTTGATTTCTCTTCTCTTTGACATACTTCTCATCCAGCTATTAAAAATGTATTTTTTTTCCTTACAAGTCACAAAGCTTCGATAATGATGTCAATGATTGATCTCTGTATTTGTGTGCTGTTTCATGCTAGTCTTTTTCACTTGAAACTCTGGAGCTAGCCAACATGTTCTTGATACTATCAATCTTTTATTAAGAATTGATTTTGTCAGAGCTTATGAAGTTCTGTCCATCTTATCACTCAGAGAAGAAAAGCTTGAGAATGCAAGCGCATAAATTTTACCAATTTCTGCCACACCTTCTGCTCCTCCTCTCCTAATTGCCAGCTGTTCCTCCTCTGCCATCCTGGTTCTGCTGTTTTCTTAGGTAGCGATCCAACTTAGAATCCTGCAAGCTCCTGCAGGAGGCTATGTGGGCAAAGCAGTTACAGACTCTTTTCATTTATGTGTGAATATGTGAATACTAGTCAGTTGTAGACCTAAAATTTCTATGCATTTAACCCAAGAGCAAACGTGTGCCTGCCTGCACCATATTGCAGGTGGGAGGCTGTAGTGGCCTTTTATGGCCCCCTGTTATTTTACTGACTTTGCCACTTGTCAGAAGTTAGAGGTGCATCCAGTCTTCCTGTGGTTCTATTAGCTGGCCCTGCTTCTCAGAACGAGATTTGGTACTGTGGCCAGCTCTGCAGCAGGAAGCTGTGGTCACCTGTGTTTTAAGTCACCCATTACTCAAGGTGGTGTTCATGGTTTGCCTGGGAGAAACTGTACTTAACCTTCTCTAGAGAATTCGCCCAAGTGTACCAATTGCAGCTTTGATCTGTGTAAGGTTTTAGTGTGCTCAGTACTTCTACCACACATGCCATGCTAACTAAACCTGCTGAAAAAGAAATCTCTGTATTACATCCAGTACTCAAGCTGGTTCAGCCAAAAAAAATAAAAAAAGGGCATTGGAGGGGACAGTAACATTTAGCCCACTTGTTCTTCTTCAAGCATATTTTGTCTAAATTAGTTTCATTTTGGGGACTTGGTCCTTCTCACAGCAGAGATCGGTTTCCTACAGTAGAGATAGAGTTTGGCACATAGCATACTCAATGGCTAAAGAAAAAGTTGAGATGTTTAAATATATATGATACTGATTTTAAGAGAGAATAAGGAGGAGTAGATAAGTTGCTGATTGAACAGGGAACAGAGAAAGCTGGCAGAGGAAAGATAAACCCATCCCCTTGATGTGATCATGTTGGAGCAAAACTTCTCTATATGAATGAACATGCTTCAGATTTTCCATGGCATATCAATAGTCCTTTGAATTCTTTCAAAATTATATTGGACAAGCTGTCTTTCATGTTTGAGAAGGTAAACATTTTTGCTGTTTCCACTGTTCTTTGTTGTGCTGTGTTTCTACATGTAACAAACCTGGGTTTTATCTGTTTGCTCCATGTGTTGTTGAAACATGCAAATAGAAATTCTTCAGCAATCTTGTTTTCATGAAAGATCATTAGCAAGCTGGGGTCTTTGGATGTAGGCAGCAGAGTGAGATTGAAAACCAAAATGAACAAAAATTCCCCAAACTAAGAACTGAAGAAAATCCCATGACAAATTTTACTATAATCATGATTTCAAAATGGGACACAATTTAATTTGTCCAGTTTTGGTTTTGGAATTGTTCTTTTTATCATTAGCTGAGTCAACTGAGGCTACTAAGTTTTCAAGCATAAAATGCTTTATGCAGCTAAAGTTAGTTTTTATTTCTACTCACTGTATCAGACAGGATTCATTTGCCTTTTCACCAGCAGCACACTTGCATTGCTGAGCTGTGTTGCACATGTGCCAGTTAAGAAGTGGTGCTGCCATTTTGTAAGGTTGCTTATATGCAGCACAGTATTTCCATGGATTGCAGAAATCTCAATGCCAGAAAGGTTGTGTTTAAACAGTGGATGCTTTTGGAGTTTCTGTGTATTCCATTTCACATTTCAAATTGTTTGTTTCTTCCCCCTAGTACCCAGTGATGAGGGGTCAGGATCTTTCAGCTGGTTACACTACTCAGAGATCATCCATTCTACCTCTCTATGAAGTAAGTGACCCTGTTTATGGAGTGGCACTCAGTAAAAATAAAATATAAGAAAGCATCCTAAATGTGTCACAGATTGGGCAGTTCCTTGTCTTTATTCTCAAGAGAGAGCTTCCTGCAAATAATGTTATGAAGGAATTAATCTAAATACTCTTTCATGTGTTTGCTTGTATGATACAGCTGAAAATGCTGTTTTTTTAAGTCATTGTGATGGCGCAACATGCAGCTTCCATCATATACTGAAGTTGCTGAGGTGCTGTTAACTCAAAAGGCTCATCTGGGCAAATGTGGTTACAGAATCCAAACTTAATTTAATTTGTTTTCCCATGTAATTAATGATTATATTTTTATTTCCACAGAATACTTTCCAGGAGCTACAAGTGGTGAGGAGAAATCTAAATTTATTCAGAACCCAAATGATGGATTTGGAATTGACTATGCTGCGTCAACAGACCACGGTTTATCAGCACATGACAGAGGAGGAAAGGTAAAATGACCTTTTTTAAGAAACAAAAAAAAGAGAAAATACTCTGGCATATCAGAAAATGTGTTGCTGCCCTTGAAATCAGCAAGAAATCTATTCGTTTCAGTTTGAGCAGGGTTGGAGATGAGTTTTTTGCCAAAATCTTATTTACTCTTTTCTTTATACATCTTAATTGTAGAGTTTTTTATTCTTGGTTTCTTCCAATCCCTATTTCTCACTAATTAATTTTTTTTTCTGCATCATTTCTCCAAAGTGATTCTACAGCTGCAGATATTTAGGATTGTTATAGGATACTTGAACATAGGATATTGCAGGGGAAAAAATCTTAGATTTTATTTTAGATGTCTCCCATCTTCTTAGATGTAAATAAAGAATGAACACTGTAGCATTCGGATGCTTTCCCAACTTTCAGTGGCTACTCAGCAGGCTACAGATGGCATTCATATTCTTGCTCCATGTGGTTGTGCTCGCCAGGAGTTGCAGTAGCAGCAGATCTGGAACAATTTTTGAAACTGATTATATATTTAGTTCAGTTGAATCAGCTCTTGGCCTATCACTTTAAAAGTAAACATGTTTGAAATCAGTTGGCTGCCTTAGACTGTGGCTTCCTGGCCAAAATGTAGCTGTGAGTGTTGGGGAATCTATAACCACACAGGAGAAGTAACGTGATTACTGCGCTACTCTGTGGTGCTTGTTATTATCAGTTTTAAATTGCATTTGATTAGATATACTGATGTAGAAATACTGATTTCTTCTGCATTTAAAGCTAAAATTTTTGGAGGAGTTTCTGCAATACACTATGTTGTTTTGTTTTTTCTATGGACTGATACGTCTTTTCTATAAATGGAAAAAGACTTCTGTGCCATGTAGGCATTCAGCTAACATTTCTGTGGTCTGCTTTGAATTCCCTTGTATGAAGTCCTTTACTTGTGGCACTGTCCTGCTCAGTCACCTCTTTGAGCTGTGTAGTGAATGCTTTTGTTCTTCTTGTGATGGCCTTGCCGTAGATTCGAAGCTGATCAGCTGCAGAGCCTGAGGAAGTCGGTCCGCATGGAGCTGCAGGAGCTGGAGATGCAGCTGGAAGAACGTCTGCTGGCCTTGGAAGACCAGCTCAGAAGTCTGCACATGTCTTCACCTTATAGACCTCAGGCACACATAGTAAGTATTAGTTTTGCAAGAGCATTATGTTTTTTCTCAATGTAATGCTCATCACAGAATTGTAGAATAGTTTGAGTTGGAAGGGACCTTTTAAAGATCATCTAGTCCAACCCTCCTGCAATGAGCTGGGACAAATGATAACTGTTATAACTCTTGGAGTGGGATGGAATCTAATGATGCCATGTGTATTATCAGGGGTCATATTTTCTCATTTTCAGTCAGTATTTCACCTTGGGGAAAAGGTGTGTGACTTTCTTGGTGTTCATACATATCAATACATGCCTCATGGTATTTTAGGGCTGAGAAAGGCAGACCTCTTCTGTCAGTGCTTTCTTCTTTTTCCTCTTCATGACCCTGAATTTTTGCAGTTTTGGTAGCTGGGGTTAATGTCTAAAATCCTTGGAGTATGGTGATGGGCTTTCTGGAGTTCTCCTACACTGATTTTCTTGAGAGATAAGGGTGGAGACATGTAACATTCACAGTATTTCTCTCCCAAGAAACAGAGTGTGCTTTCTCTCTAGCTCTGCCAATCCATGGGAACAAAAACAGAAATACCCAACAAAAAACAAACACCCAAAAAAAACCAACAAAAAACCCCACACACAAGAAAAATCCAAACAGAAACAAAAAAAAGGGGTGGCATGGCAATATACTTACTCTTATTTTTCACTCAGTGAAAGACTGTTCCTCTCTTTTTGTGCTGCAATTCTGTCATCAGCCAAACAAAAGAAGCACAGATAAAAAGTGTCATGTGTTCTTCCTGGGTTTCATTTCTATTTCTTAGCCTATCCTCTTCTGTAGAAGCAGCACAGGCCACATCTTCCTCTTCAGTATTTTGTCATGGGGAAAAAATTGAAACCCAAGAACAGGAAAATACGGTATTACTGTGATCTCAAGCCAAACTTGCATTCTTTGAACTGTATAAATAATTTTTTATTTGTAAATCCTTTTATAGAAGAGTGCCAGCTTTAAAAATGACTGAAATTAACTTTCTCCAACCAGCTCTGCTTCCTGTTTCCAACATGTTCATATACTAGCTTCTGAGAGTGCTAAGAAAGTCCTAAGTGCATTAACTTAATTTTTCAGGGTATGTATGGAAGCAGAAGTGCTGATAATCTGTCATGTCCTTCTCCATTGAACGTCATTGAACCAGTAAGTAATTGTTTACTCTGTGTTTTGCTGATGAAAAGAACTAGGAAGGTTTTTCTTTAAAATAGGTTGTAGGAGATTAATTTTACACATAATTTTAGAAATACTTTACTCTCTCAAATAGCTTTGTTGAAAACAGATGCAATTTTCCTTAAGTAGATTTAGATTTAACTATAGGTGTAAGTAGCTGTAGTCTTGTTAGCTTTTAAGAGGAATATGTAGAAGTGAGATATTTTTTTCATTTAGTTGCTACAAATGGTGGTACTACCTCATGTATTTTCTAAGGAAAAATATTTTTTGTATTTCTATGCATTTTCTGCTACTGGAAATAGGTAGTTCAAAAACTGCAGAAAGGAAAGAACAAATAAACAGAAATCAAGCCCTTACGTGTGTGTCTGTCAATGGCTCTGGCAAGATGTGTACATTGCAAAAGTTGGTGGCTTGGGGAAGAGCCACAATTTTTATTTATGTTGGCTTTAAAAAGGCACATTCTTTTTCATGATCCTCTTTGTTGTAGTCATAAAGGCAAAGGATATATTTATTTTATAGCTGTATTTGTTGCATGGAGGCAATGAGTAAGTGATTAAATAAATAGAGAGAAAACATAGTTATGTCTGTGTGTGACTTTTTTGTATGCTTATTTGGGACTGTTTCTTTTCTGAATCCTTAGGTCTCTGAGCTTATTCGAGAGCAGTCATTTCTGAAATCTGAACTGGGCTTAGGACTGGGAGAACTTGGACTGGAAACTCTCCCAGCAGAGGGTACAGAGTCTGTATTCTCCCATGGAAACTCAGATTCCTCTTCAGTGTGCTCTGGTCACACAGGTAGAAAAGCTAAGAGTCAAAACAAGAAGTTGTACAAAGCCTCTGTTGCCTTAACCCCAACTCCCCCTCTGAGAGCAGGCACTGGACAGCCAGTGGAAAGCTCTGAGGAGTTTGCAGACTCCAAGCCAGAGGTGGAGCACAAACTTGAAAAAATCCCTCTCATGCCTTCAGTTGATGAAATCCACAAAGCAGTGGAGCAGGAGGAGCTGCAACAAGTCATACGGGAGGTGAGTAAGGAGGGGCTGAGATCTGGGATGTTTGAACTGAGTTTTCTGAAACCTAAAGACAAGGCTGGCTGTAACTCGTGTCCACTGAGGTTTTCTCTTCCCTCTCCAGCCAAGGCTCCATACTGTTCAGTGTTGTGTCTGAAAGCTCAAATCATGTCACTAGGTGTTGGAACCACAGCTCTGTTGATGTGCAAAGCAGTGGATGTTTTTTTCAGTGGTAGTAGTTAGCATGTAAATTAATAGCTAAGTATGGCTGGGAAAGAACTTGCTGTCTCTGCTACCTGGTTAAGCAGCAGTATTTCAGATTCCCAAGTGAAAATTTCTGTCATGTTTGTTTGTTAAAATGCCAAACTGGAGTTCATTGAGTGGTGAAATAATGTTTCTGAAACAATGCTGTAATAAATGCTAAGTGTACTTTCCAGTCCCTCTACCCCAACCCCTAAGTACTATAGGAATGTAAGTGAAACAAGCTGAAGGCAAGTGGGAAGTTATTTCAGAGTTTGAGTGATTTTGGACCAATCATATTGGACTAGTTTTATTGGCAGTCAATGAAAGTGAGGAGTGCTTGGTTATTTTTCCTGTGGGCCAAGTTAAGAAACATGACTAAAACTGTGTTTTGTTAGTGGCATGACAGAAAAGCTCTCTGGCAAGTAATATAAATGTGGAAAGGAAGCCAAAGAAACTACTTGTTCTGAAAAGAAATGCCTGTGAAAAAGTGGAGCAAACTTTGCTCTGAATACAGAAATGGGCATTGAGAACTTGGAGATTTTATTCCCTCTTCTTCACAAGAGAAGGACCACTTAGTCTTTAGCCAAGGGTCACTGGACACTTAGCCTTTAGCTTGTCCCCTGAAGCTTTTGTGTGACTCTGCCACAGACCACTGAAGACTAGGTAAGATGTCATATTAGAAACGTACAACAGGCCAGGCTGTAATGCCATGGTACCTTCCAGGTCTGCATGTGTTGAAGCTGTGGATAATTGGAACCAGCTTTACTTTAGCTTTGTCTCTGACGTGGATGAGATGCATACCACGCATCAGAAGAGTGGCACATGAGATATTTAGCACACTTTGCACTGTGCTTCTGATTCTGCAGGATGATCCTGGCTTCTCCTGAAGCCAGGATGTGGCCTTTGTGTCCAGGCTGTCTGTAAAAATCCATGTGTCAGGGCAGTGGTGTCATGGTGGAGGGTGGAGAAACTTAGGAAGGAGAACTGTAATTCAAAAGTACTGCAAAAGCAGCAGAGACAAAAAAAAAGTCAGCTTAAGTCAAAAGACAGAATTATTTCAGTCAATATTTTTTCAGAGGTTAGCCTCTGTGAAAGTTCCTCTTTAGCTTCATTAGTTGATAGCAAATAAAGATGTGTACTCTTTGCACAGAGATTGTTATTTGGGTTGTGTGGCCCTGAGGACATTGTAATGCTGAAAGTATCCACGCTGAACTGAGAGGCTACTATTCAAAGATGAGTAGTCAGCAAACAACTGAGCTTGAGTCACTTTGTGAATATTTGAGCACACAGAGTTTGTCCCTCTGTTTAACTTCATTGGCAGTGGGTTCTGGATCAACTCAAGATTCTCAGCATGAGGAGTTTTGCAGGTCAGAGTGGAGATGCGTTGGCTCAAAGCACTTGGTAGATTTTGCAGAGCCAGAACATACTATTCAACACATATCAGGAAAATCTTTATTATTTCATAAGAGTTAAAACAGAGCATAAATTGAAATAATGCCTTGCTTAAATAGCCCTGTTGTTAGCAAAGGAATTCCAGTATCATTGTCAAAAGAAAGAAATCTCGTAGGGTGCATTCTTGATGTATGCACTCTCAAGTATTAAATCCCTGCTTACTCCTCCCATTCTCTGTAGCTGTGTGACCTTGTGCTGGGAGAGAGAAGCCAGGCAGTGGGTGTGATATGCCTGGGTGGGCTGTAATGCATGTGAACTTTGACCTGTAACTATTTGTTCCATGAAAAAAACCCATGGTGTTAACTTTTGGCATTAATGGACTAACTCCCTTGGAAAAACATTCAGCAACATGAAGTTTTAAAATAGCAAACAGTAGCTGTCTTGATGAAATACAGCCTTGCCTCCACAGGATTATCACATTAAGTACTTACTGCTTGACTTGTGTATGCCACAGGGTCACTAGGAGGGTCACCAGGCCCTCTCACTCTGCTCTTCTCCAGTTTAAAAGATGTGTGCTAGTTTAAAGATCTTTCTGCTTAAGAGCAATGCAAGTTTTGATTTTGTTAATAGTTCTTCATTATAAATGACACTTAATGAAGTTACATTTAAAGGAAATGTATGATTTTCCTGTCATCATCTGCTTTAAGAGGCTGCAATGAGTCTGGCAGAGAATCATCCCTTTTCCATTTTTCCTTCAAATCCATGTTAGCTCAACATCCCTCAAAATGTTTGTAGGTTGCTCATGTGTGCAGGTGTTGGGTTCCTCATCTTATTATCTTGAGCATAAAATCTCACCAGCTGCTGCCATGAAGAAGTGGCATGGGGAAAAAAAAACAGGGCAGGAAGGAATTCTTTTAATTATAGAAAATTTACTTCAATATCAGAAATATAAGCACTGTGAAAAACCTTATCCCCATTTTTCATTGGTCAGTAAAGAACACCAATCTCCAGATTTGCCACAAGTGGTGCACTTCACTCTCAATCAGTTCTTTATTTAGCAGCAACATAATATTGTAGTAATGGTAATTCTTTTCTAGGAAGAGAGGTCATTGGTTTACTGTTATAAAAATGAGTGTGATACTGTGTTTTCAATGCAATATTGAATATTGGTGTTGTAGCAACGTAGTAAATGTAGCATAAATAAGTGGCTCTCTCATTTTTCAAGTGATCAATTTTTCATTCACTTGCTAAAAGTAATTGATGGAGCATTCATTGACTGCTTTTCTGTCTTAGCAGCGGGCTGTGTCCTCTGCAGAGCAAATAGAAGGTGCACCTTACTCTAAATTATTTATAATGAAAAGGGAAATATTGGCCATTGGTCATGACACACACGTGTGCTGAGTCCCTGCAGGAGTCGGTGCTGCTCCCCACGTAGGAGTGACCTCGCTGAGTCTGGAGGGGGAGGAAGCAGAGGCTCTGGAAAGAGGCAGTGGAGGGTGGCCTTGCTGTTGTCCAGACAGGAAGGTTAAAAGCAGAGGTCTCAAATAATCAAGGTCAAGCCAAAAGCTATTGGGACAGCTGAGAATAGAACAGGAGCTGCTTTGCTTCCAGTTTCTATGTTGTTACAAGACTGTCTGTCATACTAGATCATTTACTTGCTAATTTGGAAAGCTTTTATGAGTTTTTTTTTGGAAAGTGAACTTTATTTTTGTCTGTCTGTTGAGAGAAGGGTACAAAATGACTGTTCTATAGCATATTCACAGATCCACCCCATGAGATACTGAAGAAGAAAGGTGGAGGGAGCACTGGGGGCTCTCCTGTGCCTGCTGGACAGTTGGAGTGCTGTGTGCAGGTTTCCCTGCGCCTACATTTCTAATCCCAAAGCCCTTACTATGCTGACAGTGGTTCTAAAGCTTTGTACATCAGTGTGTGCATCAGCATAGACATCCTCTGGGCTTTCAGCTGTCAGTGAAACAGCCTCTATTACACAATGGCTTTTCTTTTGTCTGTTAATCAGCAAACAACCCAACTGGAAACCTATTTCCCAATAATATTATAGTCTCTGAATTTCTGCTTGATTCAAAGTAGTAATGAAATGAGAAACTTTGCCACAGTAATGGTTTAGGGATTGAATTGCCTGCCAAAGAGAACAAGGGATAAATAACCTGCTGCTAATGCTGCTGCCACCCTTCTGACGTTGTTGCTTAATCCTTTTGACGCACCAGGAAAAGGGAAGACTAACATGAAAAAGAAAAATGTATTGCTTAACTGGGATGCTGAGTGCTTCTGTGTGACCTTGAGCCAGGCCCTGGCTCTTACCCCCTTGCACCTTCTCACAGCTGTCCTCCTCTGTCTTTGTCTGTATCTGACTTTTGTCCCTCCTGAAGACCATTCAAAAAGATAAGTTGGTGCCAAAGATTTCTTGTACTTGCAAGAAGCCCATATTGTTTTTCTTTGTCATGCCCTGCTCTTTTAGAACTGTGTTTTGCCTCCTTTTCTCCTTTGTTTTCTTTACTGTAGCAATCAGTGCTCCGTTCTGTTTTTTGTTGTAACCTCAGCCACACTCACATGCCTGCTACTAGAAACTCCTAGGTGTGTTTTATATAAAACTTAATGGATAAATGCTTTGTCACAATCCTGTAACAAATAGCCTTCACTGGCATAGATTAAAGCCCAGTGGCCCACTGATGATGTGAGCAACTGATGAAATTCTTTGTCTTTCCTGCTGAAAGTATGCAATTAGGATTTGTCTCCTTTTGAATTACTTGAAAACAACAGCTTATGTTCATGGACTTGGATCTGTTCTACTGTGTAATCCATTAGTGAAGGAGATCAATCCTGCCTTCCTTTTCAGGAGAATAACAGCATGTCAAAAAATAGTGCATTTGGGAGGCTTTTGATGTACAAATCCTAAAATGTTTTTCTTCAGAACTTTGCATAGTTGAAATGTATTCTTTTTGTAGCATAAAGCCAGATATCCTAAGTGTAAAACATAAATATATTTACCATCTGGAAATACAGAACTAGTTTGGTTTACGTTTATAAAATTTGCAAGAACTTCAGAATTATTTAGTTAGTTTTTCATTCTAATGTTTTTCCAGTCACAGTTCTGAAAGTTGAATTTTAGTGGTGCATATTGGTAGTGTCAAACATATCTGCAATATCATTTCATTTTACCCATTGTTTATATAAATTACTGACCTTTAAACTTCGGCTAATCCCTTTCAGATCAAGGAATCTATTGTTGGTGAAATAAGAAGAGAAATAGTAAGTGGGTTGTTAGCAGCTGTATCACCCCAAAGCAGATCTGCAACTGCAAAACAAGATACACAGCCATGAAACTGGTACTACAGGTAATCTTCGGGGGTCTGCAAGAACCAGATTTTATTTTTATTTTAATTGCGTTAAATATTGTTGCTAACTTATACCTTGCTTTGTTTTCATTTTCTCCTTGAAACATAAGTGACCAAATTTGAAGTTCATTAAATACAGAGAATACTGATAATCCTGGATAGACTTGGAAAGTCAGCTGGTTTGTAGTTTGGCCCATTCTACTATCAGCTTTCATAGAGTGGTCCTTGATGTTTAGTTTCAGTGTGGTCTGTGATGACTTTTTATGTGAATGCATCATGCGAGAGGATTTCTGCAGTTTGCCTACCTTAGATATGAATAGTATCAAAATACATACTTAAATTAAACATAACAAACAGACTTGCAAATATCTAATTTAGGTCTTCATTTTCCTTTTTTTTTCTCTTAAGGCTGGATGTAGTCGGAAGTGCTGTGGGATTCTGCTTTGGGCAGCACCCACTGGTGAAAGTGCCAAGTTGGTTTTGCTTCAGGAAGTGTTAAAGCTGCTGAGATGGGCTACTGTGTTTGGCGCTTGGTTCTCTGATGTGGACCTTTCCTTGAGTTCATCTGTAAGGACTTAGACACTTTAACATTACTTTCCTTAAAACATCAGCAAAATTATGTCACTCTGAAAGGTTTTGTATTTATTTGTATGTCCCTGTTGTAAATTTTTATGTAGCTAATTTCTTTGTCTAATGACGCATCATGAAACTTGAAGATTTCCAGATGTAACCAATTTATAAATAACACATACACATTCAGCCTAGCTTTTTTTTAAAAAAACAATAGAAAAAAACCCACAACAACCCCTCCCAAAACACTGACCTCTATGAGGTATTTATTGTGCAATAACTGATCCACTTTAAGAGCTTGAAATAACCAGTAATGGTTTCCACTGCTGTTACTTAGTGCCACTTCAAAAGAAACAATCCTGTTACACAAATTGCTGTTAATTCTTGAGGTGGTTACTATTAGCAGAGTGGTAGAATGACATGAGGTTACTCTTAAAACTACTTAAAGTTCTGACACTGAAAGCCTTATCTTTGTGTAGAAGACAACTTTTAACTAATTTTATTTGCTTCCTTGCTGTTTGCTCATCCCTGTATAGGAAAGTGCCTTATTTAAGCACTGGGATATTTTTTTTGGTGTTGACTACTCGCAGTCATACCAAGAGAAGTTCTGCTTCATATTAACCAAAATGCAATAAAAATGCTATCTTCTGAAAGCAATTAGGATTTTCAACTTGGAATGCATGAATGACCTTGCTTATATTATGGGGAAAATGGAAAAAAACTCTTTTCCTTCTCCATCCCTCACAGAGTGTATTTTCAGTCAGCCTGGTGAATATACGATTGTTCCAATGGAGAAAATTGGAAGTCATTGGAGTTTTTATGTGGCCAAATAGACATTTAGTGGATATGTAATATCCCTTTTGGCTGCGCTTGAACTCTCCTTTGCCTTTTCCATCTACTAAAACTCTTCACACTATGTCAAGGTCTTTAATCAAAAATAGTTTCAAATATTACAATATTATATGAAAAAGTTTATAAAATTTTAAATTGTGTTAGGAAGACACACAAGGGCTGATTTCTTTAAAAAAGTGTATATTAAACCAATAAAATATTTATTTTGCCTATAATTTGTGTCAGTGTTTTGTATTGTGCATGGTTTTCTCTTGAGCAAAATAAGATAGATTTGATCAAATCCCAGAATTGGGAACAGCAGGAAAGCTCAGAGCAGTACACAGAATTGGGAACAGCAGGAAAGCTCGGGGCTTGGCTTTTGAAAAAGCTTTCAGATATTTAGGGGCCCTGAAATGTGAGAGCAGTGTTGGCACTTTAAAGCACTGTCTTAAAGTTATTGGCTTCTGTTGCTGGTCCAAGAAGTTGATGAGTTGGTAGTTCATCCCTGTAAGTAGAGGCAGAGTTTTCTTGAAAACTTTATTCTGCACACTGAAAAGCTGAAACACAAACTCTGGCAGCACTGATACGTGGCAATCTATACAAGGTGGTAAGCTGCAGTAGATTTCTGCCTTGCTTTGCAGCTTGCATGAGCATGCAGCTCCATTCCAGAACACCACAGGAGATCAGCCAGCCAGACCCATGTGTCTGCAACCTTCCTTTGCAAATGCAGAAACCCAAAACCCACTCAACCTGCTCCCCTCTCCCCCAGCCAGATCAATTAAGACACTTGACCACTTATGTAGCTCCTGTGCCTTTGAGCTGCTCAGAGCAGCTTTCCAAGAAAGGTGACAGCTGCAGCTCTCAGGGAGTGATGGAGGAAGGCACTTCAGGAGCTGGTGGCAGTTGGGCAGGAGCTGCCAGCAGCATCTTCCATGGAGACAGCAGCCTGACTTCCTGATACTCCACCAAGAGAAGTCACTTGCTGGTAACATCCCCGAGTATCTGAGGTATTTCGTCTTGTAGCTTGTAAGAACTTGTAAGCTTGTAGCTTGATCTCAGCAGTGCAAATCCTAGTGTTTAATATATCCTGAGAAATGAAAAGTACTGCCAAGTTTTCATCCAACTGATGGAAGTCAGATTTCTGAGGTTTTGCTATAATTTAAAATAAAGACATTTCAAAATGACATTTCTAAAAACTGTACTAAAACTAATGGATATAAAAGCACCTCTTTTTCCATAATCTGGATAACAGATTTTAAGCATTTTTAGAGGCATTTCCAGCTAATATTTTCTGAGTGACACTTATATATAGGAATGCCTATAAACTGTTTAAAAAAATATTTTATTGGATCTATCATATAGGTTAAGTTGAGCTGGTATCAACTTCTAATGACAATTGTTTCTGCCTTAGGAAAAGCCATCATTATTGAACACATGCCTATCCTGTGTGACTTAGCATAATGGTTTTCTGAGCATGGACAGTTATTTATTTTGCTTAATGATTCAAACTGCTACTTTCCTTGCAAATTAGTGTTGTCTTTTTTTTTTTTTTTGCAAGCCTGGAATTTGATATGGATTTTATTCAGATTCAGACGGCTTTATTAGTGGCCGATAAATATTGCTCAACCAAATTTGCAGTGAATAAAAACAGGCAGTATTACCAGAGATATTTTGCATGCTTTTCTAAAGTTTGCTATGACAGTGACCTTTGTCATTGCCTGTTGGCTGTAGGAGTAACAGGAGAACCCACCTGGTCGCATGGCTTAAAGACTTGTACCAGTGGTGGCATTTTGGCTTTTTCAGTCATGGGTTGGTCCATGTGGCACCAGGCTTGTAGGGGTTCAGGTTGGGTTCACTGGCTAAAAGGGGTGAAGGATTCTAGCCCATGGGTTGGTAGTGGTGATGTGAGAGGGCTTTAAGCTGGCTTGGAAGGGGGAGGGAGATAAGACCAGGCTCAGTAGGGATGGGCCTAGGGGCAGTGTGCCCGTGCTGGGACAGAATCGATAGCTCAGCTGATGTGCTGCTACACCAATGCACACAGTGTCAGTAGCAAACAGGAGGAACTGGAAACCATTGTGCAGCAGGACAGCCATGACATAGAATCCCTCACAGAAATGTGCTGGGATGCCTCGTGTGACTGGAGTGCTGCCATGATGGTTTAAGCTCTTCGGAAGGGATGAGCGAGGAAGCAGAGGCAGCAGGGTGGCTCTGTACTGTAGGGAGTGTTTATTCTGTGCAGAGCCAAGGATAGTGATGATAAGCCTGAGTGCCTGTGGGTGAGAATCAGTGGGGGAAAGGCCAGCAAGGCAAAAATCTTGGTGGGAGTCTGTTACAGAACACCCAACCAGCGTGAGGCAGCAGATGAACTGTTTGATGAGTGCCTGGCTGATGTCTCAAAATCGTTGGCCTGTGTTCTTGTGGGAGGCTTTCTCTTGACAGATATCTCCTGGGAACTCCAGCAGAGGAGAGGGGCTGTTCTGGAGTGTGCAGAAGAGAACTTCCTGACACAGCTGGTAAGTAAGGCCACAAGGGGTGTCTGTTTACAAACAAAGAAGGGCTGGTGAGAGATGCTGTGCTCAGGACAGCCTTCAAACAGAGAACCACTAAATGGTAGTTTCTGATTCTTGGTGAAGTGAGGAGAGGGATCAACAAAACCTCAACAAAACCTGCCTTTGTGTAAAGAGCAGACTTTGGCCTGTTCAGGACACTGGTTCAGAGAGTGTCAGTGGGAATCAGTCCTTAATAACAAAGGGGTCAAGCAAGGCTGGATATACTTTAAGAAGGAAATCTTAAAGATGCAGGAGCATGCCATCCCCATGTTCTGAAAGAAGAGCTGATGGGGAAGAAGAATGGCCTGGCTGAACGGAGCTTTCACTGGAACTCAGGACAAAAGAGAGACTGAGAGAAGGAGCAGGCAACTCAAGAAGAGCACAAGGATGTCATTAAGGTCACGTAGAAAAATACTGTAAGTCAAAAGCTCAGCTAGAACTCAATCTGACCACTGCTGTGAAAGATCTAGAGTGTTTTTATAAGTACGCTAAAAACAAGAGGCAGAATGAGGAAAAGCTCCATCATTTATTGGATATGGGGGGTAAAATTGTCACCAAGGATGAAGAAAAGGCTGAGGTACTTAGACTTTCCCTCAGTCTTCAACAGACAGTTATGCTCCAGGCAATCAGCTCCCTGAGCTGGTAGATAGGGACAGGGAGCAGAATAGGCCCCATGCAATCCCAGAGGAAGCATTTAGTGACCTGTTGTGCCATGTAAACATGAGTCTGTGGGGCCAGTTGGGATTCACTTGAAGGTACAGAGGGAGCTGGTGGAAGAGCTTGCCAAGCCACTCTCCATCATTTCTCATCAGTTCTGGTTAACCAGAAAAGTCCCAGGTGGAGACTACTCAATGTGACACCCGCCTACAAGAAGTGTTGGAAGGAGAATCCTGGGAAGTAGAGGCCTGTCAGCCTGACCTCAGTGCCAGAGAAGGCTATGGTTCAGATTAACTTGGGTTAATCTCATGACACATAGAGGACAACCAAAGGATCAAGCCCAGCCAGTATGGATTTAGGAAAGGTAGGTCCTGCTTAGGCATTGTGATATTTTTATACCAGGTAGCCCACTTAGCCTTGGCTCCTGACAGCCCCATTCCTGCTACTCCCAACACCTATATAGAAAATAGCAAACAAATGTGCCTCAGCCACCTTGCCCAGGTCTCTAAAACCCAGATCCTGTCCTCCAGGCATGCCTCCAGGTGTGTCTCAGTCCCTCCCTTGCAGATGCTGCAGGCGGGACCTTGAGGACTGGTGTGATATCTTTTGATCTAGCATGTTCTCAGAGGGGAAGAAGGAGGAGGCAAGAAAGAAGGGACATCTGAAGAGTCTCAAATTCAAAAATGAGAATTTTAAGATCATGTTCTGAAATTGGCATGCTGAGCTTTTATAGGTAATTGGTGACTTTTCATTTTATGCCTGGGAAAGTGTGTTGGCATAGGAATTTTCTAACTCAGACTCTGAAATTGTGGAAGTTCATTCACTGGTTTATCTTCTATGTGTTCTATATTTTAACTTTTGTTTTAAAAATCACAGTAACAACTGAATTTTATATTTCAGTTGTTTAATTCAGTGATATAGTTGACTAATTTTTGCATTAAAGATTTAATATGGAAATAATGTAATATCATTTTATTCTAAAACCTATGTACACTACACAGTTCTGTTTATTGACAGATATATTAGATTTACCCTATCCTTGGTAAGGAGGCAAATTGTAGCATCTCTTCCTGCTGGAATACCCTCTTAAAACTAGTACCAGAATTTTGCTTTCTGCATTATTGAACTATAGTCCATATTAGGCAAGAATCTTTTGACTGCCTACTCAGGTCATGTCCCATTAATCCAGCTCATTTCCTATGTTTTGAATGTGTGTATTCTATTGATAGTAGTGGATAGGATCTAGCAGTAAATGTTTCTACATTACTTCAAATTCTGGAGAGCTGTGAATTTCAGAGGAAGACTGGAATAGACAGTGTAAGTTCCGTGCTCAGATAAAGTAACTTTAAACTGATTCTGATTAAAAACATATTTCTGAGGAATTGTTATCTTAATTAAAGGGCTTGCATAAATAGAAATAGCTGTATCTTTTTACTTATCTAGGCTTTATGTATCCACACATATAGTTAGTACATTAACAAGTCCAAACTTTATATTCTATGGATAAAAACTGGCAAAATGGAATTTGTGTTAGATTGTTACCAGGCCAGCAGCTCCCACTGAATGTCCTACTGACTCTGTGACTGCTCAGAAAGACCTTCTGTTCTTCTTCTTGACCTGCCTGTGGCAGCACTTGGTACTCATGAGGCAGATGAGATCTGCTCTGCATTCTACCACCCAGGCAAATTTTAAATTCTTTGCATTTTCTATATATAAATAGCAGACTGTTTCCAACAGCTTAGTGGGAGTCACCCTCTTTGCAATGCTGTTTTGAAAGGAAAATTTCAGTGTCATTTTGAATATGTAATTTTTTTATTCTTGGAAGGCTTCTATCTGATTTTAGCACCCATTAGTGAGGCATAGTTCAGAGTCCCAAAGGGCAAACGTGTTCATGAAGAGCCATGGTGTGCACAGTGTTCAGGCTTTCTCCCTCTCTTTCTGCTCATGGCCAGCGCCAAGAGCTGTGAAGCTCATGCCCCTGTCTGGGCAAAGCCAGAGAAGAAGCTGTTCACCAGTTTTTGAGAAAAAGG